CGGACAAAGGAGCAAAGGCAACACCGGGGAGCAGACAGTCCTTCCAAAACACGATGCTGGAACCACTTAACGTCCACATGCAAAAAAAAAAAATCTAGATTATGCCCCTCACAAAAATTAACTCAAAATGGATCATTGGCCGGAATGTAACACGCGAAATAAAACGCCTGCGAGATAAGGCAGGAGGAAGCCTAGATGGCCTTGGGCACGGCGGTGAGTGACGCTGGCCTTCATCAACACTCAGAACTTCTGCTCTGGGAAGGACGGTACCGAGAGAGTCAGCGGACAGTCCACCGACCGGGAGAAAATGTTGCAAAAGACACAAAGGACTGTGATCCAAAACGCGTAGAGAACTTCCGAAGTCAACAGCGATAAACAAGCAACCCGCTAAAAAGTGGGCGCCCTGCCCCTTTCCCGTCCTCCCTCCCGGCTGAGGACGCGCTCCTCCCGGACTTGAGCCTTTTCGGCACCACCCCGGCGCCCCGGGCGAGCGCGCTCTCTCCTGGTCTCACCCACAACCTGGCGCGTGCAGACGCTTCACGGAAACTTGTCCCTTTGTTCACCCGAAGGGCTGGTTACGTGCTGCTCTCAGACGATGAGCAGTCTGTCCTTGGTGGCCGGGCGGACAGCAGGCAGCCCCGCCCCACCTGGCATTGCCCGGCCTTGTCCTTCCCTGCTGTGGAGCCACCAACGCCCAGACCAGGGGCCCACCCCGAGTGTCCGAGCCTCGGCCACCTGCTCCGGTCCCTCTCCAGGTCCAGATGTGTCCATGACGTGAAGGGAGGATGCCTCACCCCGCCCCCAGCCACGCTCCAGGAAGAGGGGACAAAGCCTCCGTGGCAGAGTGACTCGGAGTGACCTTTGGTCTAAGACCGCCAGTCTATGAAGGCAAGAGATGGGGCTTCATTTTTTTCTTTTTAAATCCATTTGCTTCCAATCTAGAAACAGGGGAAAGAAAAGCCAGACTGGAAACCACAGTGGGAGGGAAGGGAAGCTTTGAGCCAAAGAAAACGTTCTGACTGTATTTTCCTCCTTTGTAAAGAGTCAGTAGCATCTTTCGTGCAGATGAGACCTGGAAAGTTCCACGTGCGGCGGGACACACTGACCCGCGAGTGCCCACAGAGGCCAGGGAGCGGGCAGCACCCTCCGGGCGTGTACGTACATGGATCCAAATTAGGACTTATCAGCAAGTTCATTCTCTAAAAATAAATCAGCTTTTCTTTGCTTCATCAGAAGATCAGATTATAGTGTACGCCGCCTTAAAATGTGTTTATTCTTAGACAGGCGAGGACAATGAAACGATTACATAATCTGTCAGGTCCCGCAGGGCTGGCTGTGGGAGGGGACTGCTCCTTCACGGCGGGGGTGAGCCAGTTCCCCCACCGCGGAGACAGACTATAGCGGTCAAGAGCAGAATGATTCCGGGATCCAAGGTGCAGACTAGAAAGCGTCCATCGCTAGCATTTCAGACAGACGCTCTCCGCAGGACGGGGGTTTCCTCCAGGCAGAGGACGGCCCTGGCACCCCGAGATCAGAACTTGGGTCCCCCCACCTCCGCCGGACCCCTCACAGTGTGATGAGGGTTCCACTGGCCCCCAGTGGGCGCCCGAGCAGATCCCCACAGGAGTGGGTGAGCTCACCTCCCGCCCTGGCCAGTGGGTGGGCCGGCGGGAAGACCGCTGCTGGGGGGAAGAGGGGACAAGCGTTTAGCCACACTGCACCATCCGAGGGACCGGTGTCCACAAGGCTGCTGTCAGCTCAGATACTGGCCACAGTCCAGAGTCCCCAGACCACCCGCACTTCAGGCCAGCTGGCTGCCAATTTGGGGGTTCTCACGGCCACCCTCGTGTTCCGTGATTTGTTGAAACAACTCACAGAACTCAGGGAAGCCCTCTTCTTGTGGTTAGTTTTTTTGCAGCAAAAGGATGCAAGTCAGAACTGGCCAAAGCAAGACAGACGTCAGGCGAGGTGGAGGGGCCCCCAGGTGAAGCGTCCGTGTCCTCAGGACACGCCCCTCCCGGGACACCAGCCAGGGGTGCTCAGCCCAGCCTCCCTGTCGAGAGTGTTCACCGTGGCCTCGTGATACAGATGTGACAGAGCCACTGCCTGTGCGCTTGGAGCCCTCTCCCGCCCTCGTCCCTCCCTGAGGTCAGGCTGACGTCACGTGGTAGGTCTGCCGGGGCGGCCAGCTCGCATCCAGAGTCACCGTCTCAGTGTGAACTGCCTGGGGCCCCCGCCCTGAGTCACACACACTCCTGTCGTGTGGGAAACCCCATGGTTTAGAGGCACCACCTCTCCCTCGAGGCTGATGTTTATTGCATGGGGGCGCACGGGCCAGGGTTCTCCAGAGGAAAGGAGCCAATGGGAGATTGAGTGACTGATGGCAAGGAACTGGCTCATGTAAATTGCAGAGGCTGCCAAGTCCTGGGATCTGTTGGCAGCACCCGAGGCCCAGGAAAGGATATGCTTCAGTTTGAATCCAAAGTGGAGAAAGCTGACATCTCAGTCCAAATGTGGTCAGGCAGGACTAGTTCCCTCTTACAGGAGGATAAGCCTTTTTGTTCCCTTAAGGCCTTCACCTGATCAGATGAGGCCCACCCACAGGCGAGCGGGAACCACTTCCCTCAGGCCGCCTGCTCGCACGTTAACCTCATCCAGAAACACCCACACAGACTCACCCAGAACAATGCTTGACTGCCTCTGGGCGCCCGTGGCCCAGACACCGACACACAGAGTGACTCAGCCCAGGGGGAAGACAGGTGTCTCCCGTTGTCCCCCAGGACAGGCTGCGCACGAAGCGCTGTGCGGTCAGGAAGGAGCGGGAAGAAAACACCAGCCACAGGTAAACATTGCCATTTAGGGTCCCTCGGACGGAAACAGTTTATTCCTTTTTTCTGGGCTTTTCGTGTTTTCTATAACAGATTTTTAAGGCAGAGGTAAAATCTTAAGCAGCCACGCAGTCCCATATAGGCTGCCAGGTTTCATCTGACTGACGCTCCAGCCCGCAGAGCTGAGCACGTTCCCAGTCCTTCCCCGGGAACGTGCCGTGCTGAGCGCGGGGCTCGCAGCGGCCAAGCCACCTCTGCCCAGAGCGGGCCCCCAGCCACCTGCTGTGCCCAGAGCTCCTGTTGGGCCGGGCTTCGGAGCCACAGCAGAGCCGGGAGATCGGCCGGCCTCACCGGCCGCCCTGCCCCTCAGGCCAGGCCGGACCCGCATCACAGGCCAAAGCCTCCTGCTCCATCCTCCTACCGGGAGGACGCCCGAGAACCCTCCTGCCCTCCCCCACCGTGCCCCCTGCCTGGGGACCCAGTGACACGCAAGTAGTCACTCTTCTGCTTCTGCCACCAGGTGGGAGACCTTCAGAGCGACCCCAACTCCCACCTCTGCTCTGGGTCCAGGGCAGTTCCTGGGGGTGGGCAATTCTCTCCCACAGCCCCGTGCACCTCCGGGTCCAAGATCTGCAGCAGCGGGACTGGAAGGGCTGAAATCCTGAGCTTCCCCGAAAGGCCACAGCCAGCCCCCCTGAGCACCCCTGCCCCGGTGACGCCTCTGTAACTTGGGAAGCAAAGGGATGACAGGGCCCAGGGCCCTGCTCTGGGATGCAGCATGTACCACACAGGAGGTTAACCGTGTTCAATGTCACTCGGCCACGAAGGAGGTCACGGTGCTGCAGCCACTGCCCAGGAGCCCAGGCAGCTGCCGCGCGGGGTCAGCCCGCATGTCCAGCTGTGGCCAGGCGCCCCCACAGGCCACGTGTCAACATGCCTCGCCAGTCCTGGGACTTCAGCACCATCCTGCTGGCCCAACCTATTCCTGGCTCCACACCAGGCCGCCTCCCTGCCCGCAGACCCCATCCCTCCCCCAGCAGACCCTGCACCCACCCCCTTGAGAATTCATAGTGGGCTTTCTGAGCGCGGAAAATGGGGAAGCCCCTCCCTGTACCCACGCCCAGCAGGCCAGGGGGCCGCCAAGACAAGGGCTCTGGGCGACCTCCAGCGTCCCTGAAGACCATCCAGGAGGCCAGGGCCCTGGCCCCTCCTCCCGGCCATGTGACTGAGCTGGGGCAGCGCTGGGGGCTTTCAGGAGGGGCAGCAACAATGCAAGTGCTCCCCGGAACTTGGTACTCAGAGACCACGGGGCTGTGCAGGGGCCCTGGGGTGCAAGGTCCAATCTCCCCTGGAAGAAGGGGAGCTGAGAGGCCGTTCCCACAATCCTCCACAACGCACCCTCGTTTCCCATTAAAGACAGACACAAAGAGACGCGGGCGCCCACACCGCACCTCGGGGCTCAGGCGCAGCTTCTGGGCCATCTAATCGGCCTCATCTCTGCGAGGGATGGTCCAGCCCCTGTCAGCTAGGGACCAGTCTCCGCTGGACAGCATGAATTTATAGCCAGAGCCCACCCCCATTCACAGGCCAAGGCCTCAGGAATCTTCCCCCTTATTCCGTGACAGTCAAAGGAACACACAGGTTCCCAGTCAGTGGCCTCCAGAGGCACATCTAGGAACTCAGGACCAGGGATGACAAACCACAGTTGGCCCACCACATCCACCCGTCACCTGGTCTCATAAATAAAGTTTTGCTGAAACCCGGCCACATCCGTGCATTTCCGTGGTGCACGGCCGCCTGGATGCTGACAGGCAGAGCTGAGGAGCCGTGGGAGCGCCGGGCCGCAGAGCCCGAGCTCCTCGCCCTCCTCTGGTCCTCTGTGACCTGCAGGCGGGCCACACCCGATGCAGCCCAACCTGCCGCAGGTGCCGGCTCCGGTCAGCAGGACGCCTGCCTGGAGGCAGCGCTGCCCGGGCCCTCCCTCCTCCGGGTGCGTTGATGCCGCGAGGGGCCCATCCCGGCTCAGCTACACACCGTGCATCAGAAATGACAGCTTCTGGGGCGTGGGCTCAGCTTCCAAGGCTTTCTCCCTCCGAAGACAAAAACACAGCCTCGGGTGAACAAGACCAAGCAGGAAGCACTCAAAATATCTTTACTTTTTTCTCTCCGTGGCCATTTCCTCGTATCTCAGCCATCGCTCACCGGCTGCCCCGCTTCGTGCCGAGGTTTCTGCCAGCCTTCACTTGGTCTTTATGACGCACTTCAGTCCTCCGTTTCATATTCTTCTTCCATTGTCCATGTTGCTGGATTTAAAACAGAAGGAAAAGAAGTGGTGTTTTGGATGGAGGACTCGGCAGTCTCACGAACCCTGCTCAAGGCCTGCGAGCACATTGGCGGGGATGCGCTCCGCTGGGATTTATTCAAGAGCAAGTTTGGGGGGCGGGGTGGGTCTCTGCTGCCCCGCGTCTTTCCACTCGCTGCTGGGGGAGAAAGGCTTATTAAGAGGGAGGAGTGGCGGTGCCTCGCTCTGCAGAGCGCATCCTGAGAAGGTGGGCAGCAGGCCTGCACGTCCGCCAGGGGCCACGTGCAGGTCCCAGAAGACGTCTGGGCAGGCCACTCGCTGACCAGTAAAGCCACATCTTGACGAGAGACCTAGACGGAGTCCCCGCACACACATCCCCCAGGACAGATCACTGAGGACGCTTCTCTAACCTGCCAGGGGCTCCCCCACGGACACAGAGCCACAGGCACTGGCCAAAGGCCACCTAAGAGGCCGAGTGACCAGACACGCAGCTGGCCTCCTGGAAGCCAGAGCGGGCGGGACCCGGCACAGCCCCCCCGGTGCCACAGAAGAAGTGGCGCTGTCCCCCACCAGCACCCCACTGCCCACGCCCTGCACACAACACCCAGCCTGAGGGGCCGGGGGGACGCAGAGCGGGGAGGGAAGGGGGAGGCTGTTTATGGAGGAAACGGACTTGCAGGCAGGAAACTGCGCTGAGGGCAGAGTCCACCTTGCAAACCCGAGACTCCTCATCAGAGAAGAGATGTTAGACTTTGGTCCAAACCAAAAAACAGATACAACTTGTCAAAGGGCCAGTGTGGCCCCCGAGTGTCGCTGCCAGGTGCCAGCTCCAGAGGAGTGAGGCTGGGCCCATCCCCCGCCTTACCATACTCCCCGCTGGTGTCCCAGCTCTTGTGTGTCGGGTCTGTGCTCGAAGCCTTCGACGCCGGCCGCTCAGCGGGGACCGTCTCAGCTTTAGTGCTGGGCTTGGATGACACAGGTATTTCCGTAGGGACTTCCTTTTCCCTCCACCTCTCTTGGACAACTCTGATGGAAAGAGTTTTTATCACAGTCAGAGGAACTAAGGATGGAAAACTCTATGGGCCGTCCAGCCCTCCACCAGGATGTGTCCCTAAAAACACAGGGTTCGAGGGGCGGGAATAGCTCAGTGGTAGAGCGTGAGCTTAGTGTGCACAAGGTCCAGGGTTCAATCCCCAGCACCTCCATTAATATAAACAAACCTAATTACCTCCCTCCAAAAAAATAAATACATAAAAATAATTTTTAAAAAATATGGTTTGTGGTCACATGTGTGTGTTTGCCAAGATAAGTGCTTTGTCTTAATAGTCCCCACTTTTGTTTCTTATAAATGCTCCCAACAGATGCTCTGCACGTGGCATCCAGGCTCTCAAGACAGAGCAGGGCGTGGGGAAGGCATGTGCCCCGCACAGTCACAGCCTGGCATCTTCTGGAAGATGCCCCCCACCCCCGCACCACTCAGAGGAGGAAAACGGTGCTCGTCGTTGGACAAAGTGACTCAGCGAGTCTCATGGCTTTTACTTGTGTCACACAGCCCCACGGCCCCAAGGAAGGAGGCTGGATGCCAGTCCTGCCTGTGGATGACCGGCAGCTGTGGGGACCTGGCTGAGTGGGCGTCCTCACTGCCAGTGGGAGCTGGGGGACTCGTGTCCGAGCACACGTCTACACCGCAGCCACCTCAGGCCGAGGGACACGGCCAGCCTTATGGGGACCAGTGGCCAGGGGTCTGCAGACACACGCTTGTGGGCTGTGAGGCTGAAGGGAATAAGCCTGCTTGGCGACGGCAGGTGTCATCAGATGCTCTGGTGTCGCTGTCAGGAGCGCTGGGGAAGTAGGCTGTCCTCCCGGCCCACCCGCGTTCTCGCAGGGCCCTCCTCGTCACCAACATCACAGGCCGAGGGGCCCCCCCGCCCCCCCTGCCCCCCCACTAAGGTGGCAGGTGAGTTTGGAAGAACACAAGCGCTGACCTGCAGATCACGGTGATAATGAAGGCCCCGGCGATGACCACGACCAAGGCAGAAAACACCTGCACGTAAACTGGAAAACAGTGTCGCTCACCCCTGGTCCAGGTCCCTCTGCTCCCGGAGGCAGCTGCGCCCTCCACCGCCCCCTCGGCCCGGCTCAGCCCTGAGCACCAGCCTCTCCACGTTGTCCCTCAGGACCGTCCCCTGAGGGCAGTGGTGGGAGAGCCGCCCTCTCCTGTCCCCCAGAAACAGCCCAAGCGGCCCCCTGGCCTCGAGACCACACCCTGCCCCCTGCTCCCCGGAAATGGCTCCTTAATAGTCAGGTCAGTTGTCACAAAATTGAGTACTAGGAGATGCCTTGGGGCGACAAATTCCACAGGTCTGATTTCAAATTTCACCGACTGAGCTTTCCTTTGTTAACATGGGGCTCGCACGGCCCCAAACTGCCCACGTCGTCCCTAAACCCCCCAACAGAAGACCTGGAGGCTTTTGGGGTGACTCTTAGTGGGGGCCACTACCCCCGCGGCTCCCTGTGTGGGGGCATCATTTGGTGTGAATTGTCGGCCCCTCCCGGGTCCAGGGGAAAGGAGAGGCAGGAGAGGCCGGGGTGCCGCCCCCCGAGCCCTGGGGATTCTCCACCGCAGGGGCCCTCTCGGTGCCCGGCTCTCAGGCTGGCCCGGGGGACCAGCCTCCCTGGAGGACGGGTGGTGGCCTCGCGTCCGCTGGCCGACCCAGGACTCACTCGGGCAGACTGGAGGGGGCGTTCTGCACGAGCGCCGCCCCAGGGAGGCCTAACTCAAACAGCATTCTCCCCCGTTTTCATCCTGCGTGTTGTCCTCATGGGGCAGGTGTAAGGACTCAAGGACGGCACGCTGACGTGGTCGTTAGTGCGCAGGCCTCACTGGGCCTCCGTCATCGCTGGGCTGCCAGCCACCTTCCACGCTCTCGAAGGATGGGGCCGGCTTGCCTGCAGATGCCTATCTCGAGGGCCACGAGTCCCCCACCACCTCCTCCCGCGGGGCTGTTTCCCCAGAGCCCCGCACTAGGAGGGACGTCCTCGCTGGTGCACTCGCCTCCCGCGGCGCCGCAGTGGAGCAGCACGCCCCAGGGGGTTACACTGCAGGAATTCCTTGTCTCGCAGTCTGGAGGCCGGAAGTCCCAGGTCAAGGTGTCGACAGAGCTGGGCTCCCTCTGAGGCCCTGGGGGGTCGGGGAGGGGAAACTTCTTTGCTTCTTCCGGCCTCTGTGGCCCCCGGAATCCTGAGCTTCTGGATGCCTCACCCCGTCTCGGGCTCCGTCACCACATGGCCACCCCCATCCCTGAGTGGTGTCTTCACGTGGCGTCCTCCTCCGTGTCTGTGTGTCTGCGTCTCCCCTTACAAGACACGGGTCATGTTGGAATGAGGGCCCACCTGGTTCCAGTGGGACCCCGTCTTAATTCACTGCGTCTGCAAAGACCTCGTATCCAAGTAAGGCCACATTCTCAGGTACCAGAGGATGGGACTTCAGCATCAGTCCTTGGGGGACACAAGTCAACCCACAACACCAGGAGAGCCGTGGCCGTAGAGGACGCGATGGCCCCTGGGACCTGCACTGGCCGGACGGACCTGCAGGACCTCTGGGAATGGTGAGGCTGCAGGGGCCCTTTATGCGGAGCTGACGTCAGGAAACAGAAAGGGCTTGAAGCCGAGCCCAGGGGCTCGGGGACCAGCGGTGAAGCACATGGCGGGCACCCCGGGATCGGGAGTCCGCGGGAGAGGACAGAGGGGAGGGCGGCTCTGGGCTGTGTCGTGCTGGGTGCAGCCTTGTTCCCCTACACAACCACCAGACTAGGAAGCCTCCTGTTGCAGGTCCCTTCTCACCAGCTGCTCTTCTCTTTCAACAATGCCTTTCCCGCGGAAATGTATTCACCTGGGTTCACCCTCGAATCTCCAGGGCCGCCTCCAAGATGCCCCCAGTGATTCTCACCTCCTGGCATTTACCCCGTGGTGTAGGCGCTCCCACAGTGGAGAGGCTGACCTCTGAAGCAGGGGCACTGCAGTGGGACGTGACCCCCAAGGAGGGTCAGAATCACTGTGGCTCCTGCCCTGGGCTGTCCTGATTGCTTGCTCCAGGGAAGACATCTCGTGTCATAGGACATGCAAAGGGACCTTGTGACAAGGAGAAGGGCTTCTTATGAGCTCCCAGGGCCTAGCCACCTGGAATTAGATAGTCCAGCCCCGGCCAGCCTTCTGATGACCACAGCCTCCTGGTGTCCTGACTGTAGCCTCAGGAGGCACCTGAGCCCAAACCACCCAGCTAAGCCTCTTAAGCTGTTGCTTTAAGCCACTAAATTCTGGGTCGCTCGTCACAGACTGATAGATAACTAACATGGGGCATATCGTCAGCACTGGCATAACATACACATTAAATGATGTTGGATGAACTGAACGGAAATGAACAAATTCAGTGAAAGAATGAATTAGGAGCTTTTAAGGGAGAAGAAGGCAACCCTCGAATTTTTGAATTCCAGAGGGTACATATTCCTTAATGTGATTCTGTGTCCTGGTTCACGAAAGAAATTCAGAATTTGTATGTCAGCGAAGTTAGACCGACGTGTATTCAGTCAATGATTGAGTATTCAGCCGTCAGCGCATCTCTATATGTGCGAGCATTTTCTGTCCTTGCGGTCAGGTTCCCAGAGGCAGAGGCTAAATTTCCGGGACTCGCCCCCGCCTCTCGGCACGGCCTCCGGCAGCACCCCGCTTGTCAGGAGCACAGTGCACGAGCGCTCGCACACCACGTGCTGTGACCGGTCACTCGGAAGGAGCCGCAACCGAGGAGAGCGTGCTCCCGAAGGGGAGTCCCTTGGTCAGTTCTTCCCCCAAATACAGGTAAACAAAAGTTTTGGCACCGTCATGAAGCCCCATGAAGAACCTGAAGGCAGGCACCGGGGAGAAACGACAGCTCGCACAGCGCCCTCCAAGCCAAGACCGAAGGACGGAGGCGAGGCATGCTCTTTGAACTCCCGGGCCTTTCCCAAAGAGCTCATGCTAATTCCCCAAGTTCATATTCTTAATAATACAGATTACACCATCACACAACGTGTGCTTCAAACCAGCCAATTTAAGAAGTTGGTGAAAGGTTTTCATAACATGGAATTATGTGCACAAAGAACTCATGACGCCCTGTCACCCAATACTGCAACTTACACAGCACAAAGGCTCGCTTGCAGTCTTGAATGGGAAAGATGTCAAAGAAGTGGAAAATAATTGAGGGCACAATGAGACACCACGTGCAGGGCTCGCTGCCCAGACCCCTCCCACGGCGGCCCGACCCCTCAAGCTTGAAAGAAGTCACAGGAAAAGCCCAGCCCACACAGCTCGCTTATTCGAACTGAAAGGACTGGAAGCAGGCTGACACTTGCCTCCAGGGAAAACGGCCCACCCACCGGCTGAGCCGTGAGCCCTCTCCAACCACAGAAGTTTTTGGAGTCTGTGTCCTTTTCCTGGTTCCTTAAGGACACTAATAATTAAGGTGTTACAAAGAATAAGTTTCATTTTTTTCAAATAAATGACAGGCATAAGGAGATTGTATTAATTTAAATGATGTCTGAAATACTAACATTTGCAAAATGGCCAACTCCCACATAAGACGCTGAGGAGCAGATGTCCAGGGGACAGGACAGGCGAAAAGCAAAGAAACGGCAGCGGCGTCTCGGATTTCTGTTCCTTTGCTGGCGACCGTCTTCCTTGAGTGGCCCATCTCCTGAGATCCGAGTGAGCTGGGGTAATGAAGGACCACGGACTGTGACCGGTGACTGTGACCTGACCCGGGAACTGAACGTCTTCTGCACCTTTGTGTGCGGGAGACTGAAAGAGCAAGCACGCACGCCCCCACGATGTTCCCGTTTCCTGCTCTTGGGAGCCCCCGTGGTAAGTGTCTCAAAAAACCAGCTCGTTGCCTTGGATGCGGAGGCCTCTAAGAGGCGAGGCTTCTTGATGGAAGAAGAGGGCTGGCTGGAAACCGTCTGCTCTCCCGAGTAAGATGCGTGCAAGTCAAACCGCCAAAACCACAGAACAACAACAAAAAGACGACAACTTGCAAAAAGCATCAAATTATGGCCAAACCACCACGTGGGGCCACGAAGCCAGCTTCGGGAGTGGCTGTCACGTCCGCCGGAGCATGAGAGGCCGGGACGCCGCAAGATGGCAGCTCGTCCAGCGACGGAGGCCCTGAGGCGAGCCAGGCCCCGAGTGGGATGCTGGCTGGAGGCCGTGGGTTACGATGTGACGGGTGGAGGCCGTCTTCCCGGCACAGCTCTGACTTCCCAGTTGTGTAAGCTGGACCCGAGAGCTGCTGGGGCCCAGAATTAATGTTCAAAAACAGCAGAGAAGGAGCCCCTCCTCCAACTCAAATGCCCTCTCCATGGAAGCACTGGGACAAGGGCAAAATGGCCAGAAGGAAGTGTCTCGGGATTCTGGAAGCTCACCGCGAGCGTGCAGCCGCCGGCTCGCTCCGGATGTCTTTGCCTGGCCTGACCGGGAGCTCAGTGCGAGCGGCCCTTCCCTCAGCCGCTGGCTGAAGGCAGTCAGCCGCAGCCTGGAGAGTCAAGACGGCTGGCGTGGCAGGCGGTCGTCCGGGCAAACGTCAGGCTGACCAACGGCTAAAAGGGGAACTCTCGGGGGTGATCTGTCTACGGGGAGGTTTGGAAAGCAGTGACACGTTCCTTGGAGTCTAGAAGCCGGGGAGCACGTCCCGGGCTGGGAACACCCCCAGGAAAGGCCCGCCCAGGCTCTAAGCTCACACTGCTGGGTGCCCTTGAGTTTCTGTGCAAGCGTGAAGGCAAGATGAAGGCAGCTCTGGAAACCCTCGGGCTGAGCGTTGAAGGGGAGCCCAACACACACACAGGGCCCTCGGCAAAGACTGGGGAGGCACCGTCCCAGGCATCTGTGGAGATTTCTGTCCAGCCATTAGCTGACCACGGGGCCAACACCACAGGGAATACAGATGCTGGACAATTGGTTCAGAAAAGTCACCAAACAAGGACAACAACACGCAGCAACACGAGATCCTGGGAGGCCGGAGACCCTGACTTTCAGAGTTGCTATATTGTATTATTTAAGATGTCGGTTTTCAACAAAAACTGTCATCGGGAAATCCTCCCAGATGTGAGGGGCGTTTGCTGTGGCCTGTTTTTCAGTCAGACAGGTTCCTCTTTCGCCCCAAGTGCCGAATCTTCACCATAAAGGAAGGCGGACATCCCCCTTCGGGTGAACCCCGATCCTGCCAGTGCTGTAGCTGCTTGAGTTGTCTTCCCCGCGATACCGCTTTCCTGAGGAGCTGGTCTAAGGTTTGGCGTCTGGGGGCTGGCACTGTCCCAGCGGACAGCGTCTGACCTCCAGTGTCCAGGCACAAGAGGGCAGACTCAGCCTTGTCCCTGGGGGCTCAGCCCGGCTGGGACGCAGAGGGAGACAAGGGAGGAAGGCGCCCTGGAAAGCCCTGGGACACGGGTGCTCCTGTGACTCCCGGGGTGCCAGAGGCCGGGGAGAGGACCGGGCAGGGAGGGCGCGGGACCATTTCCCAGAGCCCTGGAGCTGCTGAGTACCCACGGGCTGTGTGTCCGGGGGCAGCCACCCCTCCCTGAGTCAGTGGCTTTGGTGGAACTGTTCCTTCACACCCAGCTTCCTACACCCCCCAGAACGGCCAGCCCTTCAAAAAGGAGGGCTCCCAAAGCAGCCTCCTCAACCGCAAGCGGACTTTCTCCACTTGCCTAAACAGCCTGCGCCCCAGCCCCAGACCCGCAAGCCTTCCCGCCCCCGCTGCACAGAGCAGGGCGGGTGACCAGGGGAGGGCAGCGGAAGCCCGTCCAGCAGTGCTGACCCGGGCGAGGGAAGCAGGTGGCTCGGGGCTCACGAGGCTTTGTCCGCGGGGCGGGCGGCCCCATACTTACTGGGAACCGCTTTCTCATAGCAGACGCCTTTGTAGAAGCAGCACCCGAGTTCCTTGCAGCGATCCCTGGTGACGTTGTAGTCACATATGTCATACAGAGGAATGTCGCACACTGCAAGGCAGACACGCAGGACGTTACCGCCAGAATACAGCCCCTCGGGGCCTCTAAGGAATGCGGGGCTGGGAGTGGGAGCTGGTGGCTGTGTGTTGTGGGTTTAATTATGCGTCACACAAATCTCACTTTGAAACGTGAATCTGGAATGAATTAGATTCTGAACAAAATAACACAAGTTAATCACACAGAACCACGCAGGGTCCGCTGACGAAGGAGAGCTGGCCGGGCTCAGCGCCGGACGAAGGGGCCGGGAGACGGAGACCTCACACCACGGCTCTTCAGGGGTTTGGCCAGGAACGTGCTACTAATTCACATTTAAGCACCCAGCGAGTTAAAGTTATCAACATGGGCTGAGGAGTATTTCAGAATTTAAAAGCTGAGCAAAAGGACGGCAAGTTGAAGTTCAGGGAGGCGCAGGCAGGGCAGGGCAGCGGAGGGCTCAGCCCCGAGCGCCTGCTGGGCCGCTGCCGGGGGCGGGGGGAGGGCCCCCCGGAGGGCCCCCCACCCCCTCGAGCCTCCAGCGACGCCTGCCTTCCTCCGGGGCTTTGGTCTCTCAGACTCAGGGATTCTGGAGAAACTCAGTGCCCCTCCCGCCCTTTCCTCCCTGTCCCAAGACACCCCGACTCCAGGTTTGCCAAATCCGTCGCCATGGCCTCCCTGCCAGCCAGGGTGGGAGGGAGCGGAGGGGAGGGGACAGCCTCTGCCGCCGGTGCGCAGACACAAGGCTGACAGAGTCCGAGGACGAGAGGCCTGAGGCTGGCCCCCTCCCACACCGCTGGCCCTCCGACAGCCGGGCCTCAGAAGCCAGAGCCCAGCCTGCTGACCTGGGGGCGGGCTGGCCCCCAGGGGCCCCGCGGTCACAGGGCAGGCACTCGGAGCCTGGGAGTGTGAGGGAACGAGGGCTGTGCTGGGTTTTGCTCAAGTGCATCTGGGCTGCAGGGATCCCCTTGGGGTGGGTTTTCTTTAAGTTCTATTTTCTTCTGTTATGACACCAGCCCCTCTGCAGAGACCTCGTGGTCCCCACGTTCAAGGGGAGGAAGTGAGGATGCTGGTTCTGAACGTCGCGGGCAGCTGAGGGGGAGGAAGTCGCAGGGCTGTCCTGCACACCTGTACCCGAGACGGCCCCGGATGGGGCTGCAGGGACGTAGCCCTGAGGCCACACCCCGTCCCCTTCTCGCTGCAGGAGACCAAGATGTGTGCAAAGAGGCTTCCCACGGCGTCGGGGAAGAACCGGGCCCTGGTCACCGGTTCCAGGCTCGCCTTCTGTGCTGCTCGCTCAGGCCCCAGTGCACCCGCCACCTCCTCCGAGCAGGCTTCTGAGGGCTTCCCTCCGGCCCCGTGGTGGCCCCACCTCCCTACCTGCAAACTTCTTCAGGAGGTGCGACGGGGACTTCTTGAATTCTGGTGCATATCTCATTGTAGTGGTTGAAGGTCAGGCAGGGGCTCAAGGGCACCTGGGGGGAGAGCAGGTTAGCACAGGGGACCTCGTGGATGGGCTGCTGCTGCAGTCAGTGCCAGGATGGAGGTGGCCAGGCTGAGCCTGGGTGGGGGCAGTCTTCACCTGTCAGGCATGTCCCCCACTGAGCCCTGGACACACGTCTCTCAGTCACACTCCAGGTGGACAACAGCTTTTAGACCAAACAAGAAACTGACCACCACCTCCCTCCTGCTGCTCCCAGCCAGTGGAAGGTCCGCTCTGCCCGCTGTGATGTCACACAGGCCTGGTGACATCACAGAGGGTCAGACAGGGGTGGAAGATCCCTGCAGCCTCCAGACCCCACACCTGAGCCCCTTTTCTGAGCAACACTTACCCCACTGCCCGGCCAGGCTCACCTTCAGAACCAAGTCCAGCAAGGATGAAGCAGCAGCAAGGGCAAAGGCCCTGGGGTGAGGCAGCCCAGCAAAGCTGAGAACCCGGAGGAGGCTGTGTGGCGTGAGGGGAGGCAGGCAGAGGACAGACACAGATCACAGGCACGCATGAGAGCACCGTGGGCCTTTGGCCTTCGCGCTGAGTGAGGCCTGGGCGTTAGGGCAGGATTTGGTGCAGAGAGAAACTGAATCACACACTAACACGTCATCCCGGCTACGCTGAAAACAGACCCTGCGGTGGCAAGAGCAAGCCTGGGGAACGGCACAGAGACCCGGAGAAGATCAAAGGTGGGACCGGCTAGTGACAGCTGATGCTTCTCGGACGTCCTCAGAGTCAGGACTGGACATGGTGAGGGGGGAGCTGGGCTGGACGGTGGAGCTGCCATGTTCAGGGTGGACACTGGGCTCTGAGCAGACAGGTCAGCAGACATTTCCCCTCTGGTCGGGGCTGAGGTCCTGGAGGGCGGCCACCAGCAGACTGGGGGGTTGGGGAGCGGGCCGTTGAGGCAGGCGTGGCCACGTTCCAGGAGAGAGGATGAAAACATGGGAGGGTGGAGAATGGAGCCTGAACTGCTCAGGCCCAGGGGTGAGGGGCTTGGGAGAGGAGCTCAGGGTCGGAGCTGTGGCCGGAGCCCAGGTGTGTGTGTGACTCAGGGAGCAGGTAGCCGAGACCAAGAAAGTCAAGGTCATTGAAGGTCATGGGCGATGGGAGAAGGAGCAAGGAAGCCCAGGGAGGGGAGGAGGACAGGAAATGGGGTCAGCCAGGGACGGCTCAGAGCCTGCGGGGCCGCCGGAGTGATCTGAAGCCTTGGGCTCCGGCCGTGGAACGCGCAGAGCAGGCCTGGCCTCGCCTCCCTGGCTCCTGAGAGATGGAAGCGGCTTTGGCAGCCTCTTTGTTATCATGTGACCAAGCTTCTCTGGCTTCAGCTTCCTGGTCTGAATCGAGGGTGATGACATTTACCCATTGGTGTTACTGTCACCCAGTAACGATGCGCAGCGATGGTCCAGCTGGGGGGTCAGGGCAGGCGTCTGCTGTCCAACAGCCCCCGGGGCTGCACCACTCTCCACTGTGGACAATTCACCCGTCTGAAGTGTGTGCTCAGTGTGTGACCATGGCGTCCACACGGTTTGCAGCCACCACCACAGCATACTCCCGTCAGCCCAGGAAGAGGCCTTGTGCCCACAAGCGGCCACCCCACATCCCCCACCCCTCCCAAAGTGACCACGAATCCACCGCGAGTCCGGGGCTGCGCCTGTGAACACGCCCTGCCCCATCAGAGGAGCTGCACAGCGCGGGCCGGTGTCTGTGTCCGGCTTCTTCCACCTGCCCGTGTTCCAGACACACCTGGCGGTGCCGGAGCCCCACTCCCTCCGGGTCTGGGTGCTATTCCAGTGCACGGGTGGACATCACTTCCCTGTTTGTCCGTGGGTGGACACCTGGGCCGTTTCCACTTTAGTGGCCATCATGGGCGAAGCCGCCGTGGACGTCCACGTACGAGTTTTGTGTACGTGTGCGTTGTGACTCCCCTCAGGTGCACACCTGGAGTGGGCTCGTGAGTCGGAATAACTCAAGGCTAACCTCGACTGTTTCCCAGAGTGGCTGCCCCGCTTGGCGTTCCCACCAGGAACTCTAGAGGCCGAAGCATAGTGGAAGACGGTTCATTTATCCACAAGCTTCCTGCGAAGCCGTGGAGACGTTCAGGCGTAGCTATCTGAAGGCTGGGTTGCCAAGGAGGCTTAGAAAGCCCCGGAGGGCGGTGGGGGCTCAGGACAGGTTCCCAGGGCGAGGCCAGCGGGGACCCAAGATTTCCAAGGATTTACTCAAGTGGAGACGTGGAGAGGAAAGGGCAGCGTGGAGACTGCACGGGGGCACAGGAGGCCACAGCGGTGCTGGTGGGACCCAAAGAGAAAGGAAGGCTGACCTCCCACCCCCCTAGGACCACAGGACAATGTGATGCCACCAGGTGGCCATCACCCCAGAGCATGCTGCTTGGGGGGCCCCTCTGGGGCATGTCTGGTGGTGGTCAGTGCCTGGGCTGCCCCACGGCCTGCCGTCCACTTGGCTGAGCAGCCAGGCCAGGCGCATGGAGGACGGTGGCTCCTCGGGCCACAGGAAGGCGCTCTGTCGTGGCTGGGCCAGTGTCTCCCTCCACCAGCCTGGTCCCCTGGGATGAAAGTGTGGCTGGAAGGCAAGGCGCCTCTGTCCTCCCACGGGGGCTGGGAGCGGTCGTGGCTTCTCTGAAACGGGAGCAGCGCTGCTGGGGCCCCTGGACTTCCCTCACTCGTCAGAGCCACAGTGGGGTTCGGTGTCCTGTCTGACCCGAGCCGTCAGCCGCCAGGAGGAGCGAGGACAGCGCTGTGGGAGGGACGTGCCTGGCCCAGTGGCCCCGGCACTGCGGCCCCCCACACTCACCCCACGGCGGTGCTGATGCAGGGAAGTGGCCACCTCACACCTCCTTCCACTTCTGGATGCAGCCACGTTTGCTCACAACTAGAGTCGAGTTAATTAAATACCCTGAGGAAGAAGTGGAGACGGCACCGTCTCGGCCCTGCAGAGCCCGGATGGTTAGCATCCGGCGGTGCTAGGAAAGGCATGTTCGAGCGGTCTGCGTGCGAGGAAGCGCTCAAAGGGCAACGCTGTCCCCGCTTTGCTCTGGTGGAGTGTTCAGATCGGCCCACCTGTGGCCCTCACCCTCCTCTGGTGGTTTCCGGCCAGGGGGCCAGATGACCACCACCGAGATGGCAGGGGCAGCACGGCCGCAGCCCCCTCCCAGTGGCCTCGATGTGAATGTTGTCAGGACGAAGGAAAGGTCTCGGCGGCTTTGGTCCCTCAGCCCCTTTCTGAGGAGGCAGAACCGCAACGCTGTCGAGGACATCACCTCTAAAACCCCTCCGAGGAATCCGGCAGACCCTACGAGAAGGCTGAAACTAAGCACAAGGCGACCCTAGGAGCTCACCACGCAGCTCCTCGCGGGGCCGCCGGCTGCTCAGAGCAGGACGTCCGCTGGGCAGCGGCCCCCAGGAAACTGGCGCGCCCGGCGGGCAAGCGGCTTACGGAGTGGTGGGGGCCGCAGCCGGATGCACACACCTCTGGGGGTGACAACTCGGATGTGCTCAGTGTCACCGAGCCCAAGGGCGTCACAGCTGTGTTTCCTTCTGAAAGCGCCATGTGGCTTTTCATGCATAGCCCTTATCTACCTGGAATTAACTTTGTCTGTGATGTGACGGGGAATCTAGTTTTTTCCCCATGTGGGTTTAAAAAAGGCAAGTCAGAGAAGGCTAGACCCCGTTATCTCATTCGTGGGGAACAAAACACACACAAATACTGCAAACCTGCGTCTGCCCAGAGGACGAACAAAAGGAAGCAAAAACACGTCTCGCGGCCACGCTCATGAAGGAAGAGAGGGCAGGGCGGGGGGGGAGGGGAGGCTCCCTTGCCTCACACCTCTGGCAGGGGTCTCCCAGCTAGCAGGCATTGTATGATTAAAGACGAGCAGGAAACTAGACACCTCCGCCTCCCCCACTCGAGCCGAGGCCCCTGGTGAACCACACATCTGCTCCCAGTGCAGATCAACGCGGGCACCTTCTCAGTGCTGCTGCCCGAGCCTGAAGTATGGGCAAGCCTGGCCCTCCAGGCAGCAGTGGCACTGGGCTCCTTGGGGGCCGGACACCTGCGCAAGTCATCCCCGGTGGCCAGGAGCCGGGCCAGGCGCAGAGACGCTGGGCAGCTGCCACTCG